GGGGATCCAGGGGCCTCAGTAGGATACAAGAGTAATACTGAACATACAAGACAATATGTTCTTGTAAAGATAACCCACCTCCTCTCTTATTGTGATCCTTGTTTGGGTTATTTATCCTTTTGTGGATTAAATCTAGCCTTATTGTGTGCCAAACACGTTTCAGGCATAGATCATGCACTTCTGGAATCTACTATACCTGTTGCAAGTAAAATGCTGTGGACATTCCATTAAACGTCATCAACTGTTTTGAGCACTTAGTGCTGGTTCATTGAGGGTTGTTTTTTTTAAAGGATATTCAGGCAATAGGAATCTAACACATAGGGAGCTCTGATGGCCTAGTGGTAAGAAACTGCACTGCAATCCCTTAGTCCTACGGTTTGAATCCACCAGCTGCTCCGCGTGAGAAGGATAGGCAATCTCTTTCCAGTGCAATTAACTGCCTCTGAAAACCTGCTGTTAAGGTCAGAATGAGCAGTCTCCTCCCATGCGGTTAACTGCCTCTGAAAAACCACTATGGGTCGATTCTGACTCAATGGCATACAACAACAACAAACATTGAGGGTAGGACCAGAATCTGTCCCATTTTCTACTGTGAGAATAGGATTATTAAATGTCACAAAGAAGCAGTCCTTATTTTCTTCTGGCCTTTAAAAATTCTGCACCTTTATTATCTGATCATTAAGATAAGGAAAAGAGGAGCGATGGGAATAAGGAAAGCCTGAATGGAGTCCCTGGGCAATGCGGTTAAGTTGTTTAGCCACTACCCGTAAATCCACCGTGTGGCACCTTTGGAAGAAAGGCTTGGTTATCTACTTTCCAAAAATCAGTCACTGAAAACCCAGAGACATAAAGCTCCACTCTGTCATACATTTCCTAGTGAGTCTGAGACAACTTTGTGTCTACATTTGTTGCCCTGGGGTGTAGGGTGTGTCAGTGAGTGTGTGTGTGTGTGTGTGTGTGTGTGTGTGTGTACTTTAAGACCAGTATAAATAGATGAAATTCAGTGGTACCAAGCTTAATGGACAAGCCTTGAAAGGCTAGCAGTGGTACTACAAGTAAAGGTATTTGCAACTTGGAAGGTAACTTCTTGAACAAGGAATTGGGGAAAAGTAGTGCTTAAGGCTAATGACTACCAACCAGGGCTAAACTAGTATCTCAGATTGGAGAGAGACCAAGGCAAGGAAGTCACATGGTTAGGAAACTGCAAGCCCAGGGATATACTAGTAGTAGCAGTGGAAATGGGAAGGAATAAATAGTACCCATTCAAGTCCTCAGTAAAACGAGCCCATGACCATACAGTTGAATTCACAATTTCAGCTTTCACTGAAATCACAATTACCATGTAGGACAGTAAAAATGCTTCTTTAAGATTCAAAAACTATAAATTTTTACAGCAACAGATTGTTTCATCCTCTTCCCATGCAGGGGCTAGATTTGAACTGCTGATCTTTTTGTTGAGCAGCTCCATCTGTGCTACCAGGACTCCAGTATTGTTAATATTATATACTAATGAGTCGGAACCGATTCATAGCTGACCCTCCAGAGGCAGTAAATCATATAAGTGATTGACCATTTTTCTCCCATGGAGCAGCTGGTGGATTGTAACACTGCCTTCGGATTGGCAGCACAGCTCCTTACCACTAGGCCACCAGAGCTCCCTCAATAAAGGTCTGTCACTGGATGAAATCACCATGATAGTTACTGTTCTGACTCACACCAACCTGCTCAGCATGTTGATCAGGCATCATGTGGAGCTAACATCCCGCTAGCCACTATTAAAATGGCCCCACTCTGTATCTTTTGTCATTGCAGTATTATTTAGAAATATAAAGTCAGACACAAAAAAGCCCCTTTATGAATCAAATGCTTAGATGGCTTAAAATGTTCAAACTTACAGACAAGCAATCTTCTACTGTACTGCAATCTCCTCTCGTGTGATCTATAGCCTCTGAAAACCTGCTGGCAGGTCAGCTTTGAGTCAGTTCCAACTTGACCCATAATAATTATATTGCCTGTCTTAACTGTGTCTGATCTCACTATCTAGCTCAGTATCTTCCAAGCAACCCCAAAACTTACTGCCTCAGAGTCATCTCTAAATGACCCATGCAGCACAGAATAGAAGTGCCAGAGGGTTACCAAGCCTGTAAATCTTGCACAAGTGGGCTGCCTCACTTTCCTCCCATGAAGTGATTGGATTAAAAATGGATTTTTTTTAAAAAAAAATAAATAAAACCCTCAAACTGATCTTTTTTGGTTAGCAGGCTACACTCAATTCACATGTCATACAATAAGTGTTCATTGATTAAATCTTTCAGAACTAGGGAAATAAGAGAGTGACTGTCTAGTTAAAAAGTTTGTAGGGATAGAATTTCCAGCTAAAGGAGACAATGATACCTGATGACTAACAGGATATAAGAACAACACCAAACTAAAGGTTTCATGCCTGGTTGTCTGGGGGGAATACCACCACTAGGGAAAATAGGGATAATGTAAGGGTAAATGATTTAGAGCAAGGTACGGACATAATTATTAGACATAGATATTGATGACAGGACTGCTCTCTCTACGAGGAATAAAGACCCTCTTAAAGGAGTTAGCCTAGTCTACCTTTTCCATAAGTTCTGTTTAATTACTAAGTACAGTGAGTCTAATGCTATTCTATGTTCTGATTCTACTTCTTTCCACTTTTACATTTCCCACATCATAATCAACAGTTTAATACAACTTGAGAGTTTTGGAAGGCCTGTTATTTCAGAAGTGAATGGCTAGTATTGCTTCTTTGTTTGGAAGCTCCACTGAAACCTGTCCACCATTGGTGACACTGATGGTATTTGGAATATTGGTAGCATAGCTTCCAGTAACACACAAATCACCACACCCAGGACAGCAAACTGACAGACAAGTGCTAGTCCATAAGAGCAAACTATAAACAAGCAAACATATACATACATGAACTAAAAAACTAGTAGCATCATAGCAATATGCAAGTCACTCCAGGACAACAAACTGTCCAACAAGTACTGTACTCCCTAAGAGTAAAACAAGCAAGACTGTAAATATAAAACAAACATGGATACCATGGAAAACAGAAAACTGCCTGGCCTGGGACAGTGTACCTAATGGCCTAGAAAAAAACTGGAGTTGGGGTACCCAGTCAAGACAAAGCTTCTGCTCAATTGAACTGATGTCTGTTTAAAAACTAAGGTGTGTGGTGTGAAAAACAATGTATATGAACTTTGTAATTAAACCAGTATAAAATAAAAGGTGGAGAGGAAAAAAAACCACAAACAAACCCAGAAAAACTAAGGTGTGCTCAATCCAAGTCATAGTATTTTTAATTGCTTTCTATGCATCTGAAATATAGGCAATAAATGAATAAGGATGACAGAAGGCTAACAGATGCCTTTGAATTGAAGTGTTGGTGAAGAACACTGACTATTCCGTGAACTACCAAAAGAACAATCAAGTCTTGTCTTGGAGGAAGGGCAACCAGGGCAGTCCCCGGAGGCAAGAATAGTGAAGCTCTGTTTCCCATACTTTGGGCATGTTTTCAGGAGGGGCCAGTCCTTAGAAAAAGACATCGTGCTGGGAAAGGCGGAGGGTCACACAAACAGAGGACGACCTACAAACAGAGAACGTCCTTCAACCAGAGGGACTGGCACTGTGACTCCAACAATACGCTCGAGCACAGCAGAGAGGGTCAGATGGTGCAGGGCAGGGCGAGGGTCCAATCCGTTCCTCAGAGGGTTACTGTGTGTAGAAATGACTCGACGGCACAAAACAACAACAACTGCAACATTACAACTTGATTTTAATGAATGGAGATTCAAAAAGTAATTTCAAAATTATTTAATACACAAAGTGAAAAACTGTCTAAAATACAAAAGCATTTCACATTTCTTTTTTAAACAATACCTTCCAACTTACTTAACAGATGCGGTGACCTACAATCCTTTATCTGAAACTCATCAAGCCAGGTATTTCAGAATTCTGAAATTTTTGGATTTTAGAAAGGTAATTCAGTGTATGTATCATAGTATGCCACTATATAACCCTAATAGGGTCTGAGGCAGCACTTCTTATAATAAAAAACACTATTTCTGCAGCAATGTAAATGAATACTCACACTAAATGGGATACATAGATCCAATGTCAATTCAGATTTACAAGCAAATGACTTGTCCCAAAGCTTAAAAATCTTTATTTTCAAGCTTTTTGTATTTTGGAATTACAGATAAAGAAGTGTAGGCCTTTATAAATTTGTATGACAAGACATGAAGATTTTTTGACAAGTGACCCATTTTTACAAATGAAAAAACAGATAAATGTTTTAAAATACATTATAAATTAAGAAGTGTTTTCTCTGATATTATTAAATGTACATTTTAAATACATATACACATACAGCACAGTTCTTAACAAGGCTGAGAAACCAAGTGGTAGCAAAGGCACAAAGGCACAGTCCCTATTGCAGGAAAGGGAAATGGCCAAATGTGCAGTAAAACTGAAAACGGGATTGAGCTGACTCCTTACAATGCCAGCAAGCACACTCATCGAGTGCAGCACAAGGAGGTAGGGTTTATTCTCCAACGAGTCCAATTTTACTTCCTCAAAAGTATAGGCAAACAGCTCTTATTTAAAATACATGTTGAGGTTTTCTTTTCTGTATAAACGACCACTATGGGCTTTAGGCACCCCAAAAGTTAAAACTTTACAAGTGATTTGAAAATAATATTTATACCAAGTTTATACTGGATCATAATGTTTTTTCCTAAGTAGTTGTGGTTATTTAAACAAGTTCATTGATTTTTTTTTATGAAACCATGTATGTTCAGAGGTTAAAACTACACAAAATCAAAACATTATGCTTGTAAAATCACAAGTAGTTTCTGATAATGGCTGTTCCACTGATGGGTGTCTGAAGAAAGTTTCATGGGGTAAAACATCCAACATGTGTAGCAACCACTTCCATAGGTTCAGGGCAGTGAACAAGCATCAAGTCATTCTGTTAACCAACTCCAGTCCAAGCTCTAAAAGCAGCCATGAAAAGAGTTATTAAAATGATGAATATAAATGATATGAAAATGGGTGTTTGCTCACCTATGTGTTCTGAACACTTTAAAATAAAGAACTGAAAATAAAAAAGATGAACATTACAACTAGAGTTTGGGTCATCTTATCTACTATTAAATTATTTTAAAGAGTTTTTATATATATTTTAAGTAAATAATTCTTAAAGGAAATACAAACAGTTGACATTCAGACAAGGTTTTGTAAAAGGTAATTCAATGAGCATTTTATTACTTACTATTTATCTAAATTTTAACAAATCAACAGTTCATGGTAACCAAATCTTAACATAAGAGCCTCTATTAATTACAATTGTATTATTGTTGTTGTATACCACAGAGTGGGAACTAACACATAGTTGACCCTCCAGTGGGTTTTCAGAGGCAGTTAATTGTACAGGAGAGTGCTATATTAGAATGATACTAAAATCTTGCCTAGCTTATTGGAGAAAGTAGATTGCTAAAGCATAAAGGTATACAACACTCTATTCCATGGGTCTCCTAGCAAATAAAGGTCATTAAGGATCAAAGTGCTAATGCTGAAGATTATTGATGCTATAATCTTAGTATATTCCTGAGTAACAGACGATGGAGATTTGAGGTCCAGGATATTTAACAACTGTTCTTTCCTCTGGTTACTTCTCTTCTCCATACACATTCCAAATGTTAGGACAGGGCTAATATGGAAAGTTAAACTCTTTGCACTCAACATATTTAAACATACTCATATCCATAAAACAACTTACCACCATACTACTGCCCCGTTCCTCCTTTGCTTCACGAATAATAGTGCTTAAATGGCCAAGATAGCTCAAATTTTCTTCTATCATTTGTGCTAAATTCTCCCTGTAGGATAAAAAAAGTCAAAGTCTTTTCAAAACCAGCAAAGGGGGTATACAGATTTCCTCTATTTACTGTTGTTCCAAGTCAGGATGATCACTGCCCTTCCTGCAATCCAACACTCCTGTACCACTCTGTCTTGGATAGTCCTTTCCCTTACCACCACAGCCCTTTCTCTTCCCCAAGGCGGAGACTGATGATGTTCCAAGCTGTGTCTCTGCCATTCTCTAATGGGGAAAAGTTTATCATAATGCCAATCTGACTTGCTTCTAAAATTTAAGTGGTGCATTTATACACAACCTTTCCTCCCCTAGGAATACTAACTGGGGAAGAAATGTTTATATATAAAGGTCCTTGTGGAATAGGCATGAAAAACCTTGTTTTGTTTCTGGAATTATCTTTCTTTCCTTAAAGAAACCAGCATGTTTATTTCACAGACACAAATGTTAGTGGAGAAGATAAAAGAGTATAGTCTTCTGCAGGGGAGGTAAAAGACTTTGTTAGGAAATCTGGATGGTAGTAACAGCAAGCGGATTCTTTAGAACAGCAGCAGAAAACAGTGATAGGGGAACTAACCAGAACCAAGACATATCCTGGGAAATTTGTACTGGTCAGGAAACCCTGATTCTGGCTTCCATGCTTCATGTTTTCCTCTTCCATATAGCCTCTTATCCTCTTCCTTACAAACCCTCAGTCTCTTCTATAATTAATTGTAGGCTATGGATGCTGGCCATTGTTAGCTTAGAACTAAATTCTGATTCAGTTCTTACTCAAGAAACAAAAAAAATGAGGCCAAGCGTTTATAATCTTCCAAGTGTTAAAGTACCTCAAGATCATTATAATTGATATGAGCTTCCTTTCTAGTTCTACTAGAAAAATTAAAATTCTTGTTTTATTTGTGGTTATCTCGCAAACAAACACACCTCATATGGAAATTATTTGTATAGAGGTGATGTTTATCACCATTAGCATTGCCTAACAAATGTACATGTTTTTATTATAAGCAAGAAAAGTTATATATTAAATTCTATTGACTTCAACTCTAATTAATGGACTATTTCCTTAGGTCTACATAGGCAATTGTTGGCTATGCCATGGCTGTAGGTGGCCAAATCTATGACGACCCCATATATACCCTGGAACTTGCTGTCTTTGAAAAAAATAAAATACCTGAAATGAGCTTGCCTTCCTGCCATGTGCTTTTCTCTCCTAAAAGTAGAGGACAGAGTGTACAACTGCGTGAGCTCCTGAGCAGTGAGGTAACGTGGCTGTGCTTCTGCAAAACTAATTACAGACAGAGCTTCCAGGAAATGCTGATGCTGTAGAAGTCTCCATGAGTTGTGAGAAAAGCGACAATACACAAACTAGCAAAGAGCCATGGGCTCTGATATATCTTAAGCTGAGAAAATAACAGAAATGCACAGGCATTCAGTTTTCAGCAAAAGAACAGGAATTAATAAAAGAAAATAAAGAATTTCACACTTGAATTCTTATTTGCAAAACTCACTTAAGGCTTTGAGGAAAAGTTCTATTTCAGAAATACAAGTTTAAAATAGAATTTACTCAATAATTTATTAGAGTAGAAATTAACAACCTCAAAAAGACAGTACAATATCACAGTGACAAATGGTTAAGGAAGGAATAATGTTTGAGTAAAGGGAATTGATAAGCCAATACCAGAGAAAATACATAGAACTTGTTCTGACCTAATAATAAATTAGTTGAATATTTCCTTCTTATTCCCATTACATCTACTTTCTCATCAAATTTTCACAGAAGTTTCATAAGACACTCTCACTTTACAGAGGAAACAAGACTATTGTAAAAAGTGAACTGTTAAACGTCATTATACAGTGATGGTCAGGTCTGAAATCAAGGTTTGCAAGGCCCTGAAGTATGTGACTTATAATCACTACGCCTACTATCGCATTCCTATTGCTAATTTTTTTTCCTCTATTCTTGAAAACACAACTGTCTATTGTTACAAAGTGAACCCACCCATCTTGAGTTACCACGCATGACAGAGGATGTGCACGTTCTGCAGAAGTTGGCGGGAGCCATGTTGATGCCTGAGGGGTGACTGCACTTTCTA